AATGATCCATACGGCCACTACCAAGCAGTCCGAATGGATGAGCAACTTGATCCAAATGCAGGCCGCTCACATGGAACGTATGGAACAAATAATGAGCAGGCTAATTAAGCCCAACCCGGCCCCTGCTCGACCTGCCCCCGCGTCATTTCCCCTCTTGTCTGCCCCGCCTGCACCAGGGTATGCACCAGAGTTCCCTCACCCAGCTAACCCAGCAGGAAAAGTCGAGTGTTTTAATTGCAAACAGCCCGGATATTTTGGTCGGGACTGTCCGCAGCCAAAACGTAATCAACCCCCGCCGGGTGCGGCCCCTGTTGCTCTGAACCAAGGACGAATGGCCGCATTGATGGACACGTCCCAAGGAGGAGAACTCGTTGCATATGAGCAGCCTTCCCCCTCAACGGCAATAGCGTCAACACCGGGATCTTCTTCCTCTGACGCTGCTGACGTGGTCGATCCACTTGAGTATCTTCATCTGACGGGCATGATCGGAGCGATCCGATCGTCCCCTGATGACCTTGAATGGGTCGATCGCGTTTCTAATCCCGGTGCACAGTTCAGGACATGCGAGATCGATGTGTTACGAGCGCTCAAGTAGCTAGATATCCGTGTTCCAATTCCGGTGGGACACTTGCTCACCATATTTGAAGCTGCAAACGACAAACTGTTACAACATTGCCAAAAAAATCAAAAGCGCTTCACCTATCAGCGCATACAGCGAATGTTGAAAAAGAAGGAAGGAGGCGAGGACTTTGCAACCCCCGAGCCTGACACGGGAGAATCCGAACTTGAAGCAGCGCGAATAGCAGCAATCTCGTTAGCAGAGAAAGATCACTTCGTACGAGCTCGACCAGTGTTGTGGAAGAGCGCAGAATGTGATTGTGAAGTTTGGGGCAAACCATTTAACGCCCTCATTGATACCGGGTCATCCGCCGTAGCCATATCATTAGAAACTGTCAAGAAGACAGGACGACTCGCCTCCATTCTTCCTCAATCTGGCAAAGACAATTATGTCTCTGCCGACGAGGAAGCAATGAACATCGTGGGCATTATTGAGAATGTGGCTGTAAAAGTCGGACGAGTACAGGTCCTCGTTAACGTGCTCGTGATAGATGTGCGCTCCTATTTCATACTATTAGGATTACCTTGGGCGATGGCGGTAGGGGCCCGTCTGCATTTTGATTCCAAGCAACTGGTGCTCACACAAACTGGGGGAAAGCCTCAAACTGTTCCCTTGCAAATTTCCACCCGAACGATAAAACGAACTTTTAACTTGGCCCAAATAGGGATGATTCGATACTCAGACATCGGTAGCGGAATCGGGGAACAAGAATACGAAGAAGAACTGCCTAGTGAGGATGAATGGAAGCACCTGGTCGAACTTTTCGAACACAAAATTCTCGAAGAATTTCGAGTGTGCCCCGACACTGCCCGAAGCTTTCACGTGGATTCAGAAGACAGCGCGCTCGCGCCTCTGACAACCCAAATCAGTCTTTCCATCCTCCTAGGGGAACCCATATTCCAAGTATCCGACCTGGCCGATGATTTGGAACCCCCTCACACCTTGTATGAGGGAGCACTTTCCTTACGAACGCGTTATCAGCAAACGGAAAAGTATTTGGATGTTTCTGTTTTTCCGCCCAGATCGCTACTAACGACAGGAGCAACCATCGCCTTGATTAAACAGGAAGCAGAAGCACCGGTAGATGATGTGCCTGATCTGATGCAAGGGATGACGGATCTAACGGGACTAACTGTGGAACCAACTTCGGTTGGTTCAGAGACTGATGCTGAAACTAAAGAAACCGAAATGATCATCCCCGCTGAATCTCAGATGATAGCAATTGTCTCTTCTGTTCGCACCAGTAGTTCCGTTTTTTCTAGTGTCCATTATCGGCGGGAACGGCCGGTTGATTGGGTCGACATTCCCCTCAAGATTCCCGGGGAATCGACAATCACCCTACCGAGCCACGTCCCCGCGGAACTTCGGACATCGTTAATCTGTGTTTTAAATGGCTACGCAGAAGTATTGAGCGTACACGATAATGACATCGGCTTAACTAATGTGATCGAGCATGTCATCCTCACGGGAGATCATCCGCCCATTAGCTGCATTCCCTACCGATACTCGCCTGCTCAAAGAGCGGCCGCTTTTCAGCGGATTAAAGAGTTCGAAGCTAATGGATGCATCGAACCCGCAATAGGTCCATGATTTTTTCCCGTAGTAATTGTGCCCAAAAAAACCGGAGGGATTCACATTTGCATTGATTACCGGAAGTTGAATGATATCACGATCAAAGATGTGTACCCCCTCCCCCGGATTGATGAGTTGTTGGATGCGATTGGGAGTGCTCGATTTTTTAGTAAGTTTGATGTTCGCCTCGCGACCTTTCAGCGAGCCATGAATATGGCTTTTCAGAATTTCGTGCGGAAGACACGTTTGGCACAGAGCATCATCAACTACTGTGTGATTGTGTACATGGATGACATTCTGTTGTACTCGAGTTCCTACGAGGGACACGTGCAGCACATCGAATGGGCGCTGCATGCGTTACGAGATGCGGGCTTCAAGGTGGCGTTTGAGAAGTGCCAATTTTTTCTTACCACCATTTCCTTCCTAGGACACGTGGTAATAGACAAGGGGCTCCAACCGAGCCGCAGAAGGTGGCAGCCGTCAGAGATGCGCCGGTGCTTACGACTATCACGCAAGTTCGCGCCTTTTTGGGCCTGGCCTCGTACTACCGAAGATTTATCAAGGGCTTCGCGGCGATCGCGGGACCCCTCACGAATCTGTTGCGAAAGGATCAACCATTGATTTGGACACCGGAGTGTGATCAGGCGTTTTCGAAACTCAAGGCCGCTCTCATTTCGGCTCCGGTCCTTATAACGCCAGATCCCGAAAAGCCTTTAATCCTCATTACCGACTGGCAGCCAGAGGCAATTTCGGCGATCCTGGCACAAGTGGGACCAGGCGGGTTCGAGAACGTGGTGGAGTATGCGTCCAAATCGGTGCCCGTTTGCAAGCGTAACTACGCCGCTCCAACAGGAGAATGCTACTCGGCGCTCTGGGGAATCAGTCACTTTCGCGCTTACCTGTACGGGCGGAAGTTCACCTTGGTAACCGATAATGAGCCCCTGTTGGCTCTGAAGAAATCGAAGGATTACTCTGGCATGATCGGGCGATGGGCAACGGTGCTGCAGAGCATGGACTTTGACATTCGTCACTGGATGCACGAGTGACACGGGAATGCGGACGGACCGACACGACTGCACCGGCCCGAGAAAGTTCCGAAGAATGAGGAGGTGATTCCGTGGAACGAACCCGAAAAGGAGGTTGGACCTCGGTACGGCCAAGTGGAGATCTTGTCGAAGCAGTGAGTGACACGAGGACCGGTTTGTCTGTTCTACCCTCTCCACAATTCAGTCTCATCTCTCCTCCTCTGTCATCATGACTACCCCACCTGTCTCCGCAACCCCTTCTTCTCCTACTAATTCTGCCCCTCTCACTTCCTCAGCTTTCTTCGCCACCCTTCCTGACAAATTCTGTTATTTTTGTACGTGTATTGCACGGGTTTATGGAGTCCACCGTCATCCTTTCGAAACCGGGTTTATCGAGTGGGTAGAATGTGCCACGTGTGTCAATCGTGTTCACGGGGCTTGCGTTCGATATCGGACAAGTAGCAAGGAATAGAAATGCCCCCTGTGTAGAACGAACAAACTCCCCATGGAGGTTCGATTCGAGGCCGCCCGTACGGACGACCCTGAATACGACGAAAAATACCGACGAGCAAAGGTTTGGAGGGATAAAATTTTATTGGCGAAATTAGCGGGATTATCATTGGGTCACCTCACCAAACACGACAGACGGAGGGCAACCGAGAGATCTCGGGACTATCGATGGATCAACGGTCATTTGGAGAAACGTAAAACTGACGGATCGAGTTCGTGGTTGACGGTTCTCCATCCATTCTAGAGATATGATTGGATCCGATCGGCTCACGAAGAACAGGCCGCTCATTTCGCGATACGTGTCACGGAGGCAACTATAGACCAGAACCGATGGTTCTGGTCGAACATACGAGATGATGTCAAATACATTGTCGCCAACTGTCTGGTCTGCGCCGCTGATCGCGCCCCAATACGGGGACCAAACACGATAGTACCAATGGAAGTAGAGCGCCCCTTCCAGCGAGTCAGTATGGACACAACAGATATCGACGTGCCACCTGGCCCGAACCGCTGTGAATATTCTATCCTGTTAGTATTAATTGACCATTTTTCCAAGTACATCGAGGTCTATCCCTGTAAGACCCGCAAGGCCGCAGAAATAGCCACATACATCGATCGGTTCCTCTACACCCATCTAGATACGGAAGAAATTCTAACCGACAATGGGTCCGAATTTAAGGGAGAAGTAGAGGAACTGCTCGCACGAAGGGGCATCACGCTCCGACATACGGCACCTGTCGTGTCCCAGTCGAACGGGCTGGCTGAAAATGCCAACCGCATGATTAAAACCGCCCTTCGCAGGAATTTAGCGGCACACGACACACATCCGTGGCCCGAGATCGTATATCAGATCGTCGGGATCCACCGGGCCACCCCTCACGAGTCCACGGGGTTTGCCCCTTTTCAGCTTCGTACTAATAGCCTCCCCTGTGTAGACTACCGGGGTAACTCGGAAATTGCCGAAGCAGGGGGTAGAGACACGCGTGCAGCCCTCAAGGCCAAGGCCAAAAGGTACACCGAATTAATGGAGCGGGCCGTCCCGAAGCTAGCCCAAAAAAAACAAAGGATGATCGATCTGGCCCACGGTAGGCAGGTCCGTAGCTATGAGGCTCGGAATGGAAATGCTGGGCCCCAACATCAATATAAATTAGGGGACCTAGTGCAGGTACAAAAATGTGCACGCGACCGGAAACTCGCTCCCAAGTTTTCTGGTTGTTTTCGTGTTGTCGAGCTCGGACCCAACGGCGCCAACACGGTGCGCATCGCGCCTGAGGTTAGTGCCAGCCATATAGCTTTGTCCCCATCGTCTGGCATACCTCCTACGTTCGTCCTCTTCCTCCCTCTCATCTTCCTCCCTCTCCCTCCTCCGAAAGCGAGGAGAGCGACGACGATCTCACTCTCTCTCCGCTCTCTCCCTCCTGCCCTTCGTCTTCCTCTCCGACCTCGCCATGAGTTTCATCACGGAGCGGGCTCTTGACGAACAGTTGTTGCAGCCACGTGGCCACATCTCGGAAATTCGGCAAGTTCGCCATCCACGGCTTAGTACGGATCTTCAGCGTCTGGCGCAGTTCTTCTGCGACGTGGGTGTGTGTGCCGCCGCCGCGTTTCGATTCGAAGAAAGCTCACAGGCAATGGTACTGGTGGAGGTAATAGCAGTTGATCGGCGAGCGGCTCCCGGAACGAGCCACGTCACCACGGTTGCGGCTTTCAGCGGCGACATCAGTTCGCTCAATCCACGGTGGCATACCACGATCTTGACCTCGCTGCGAGAGTGGACGGAGCAGGTGTCCAACGTGTGGCATCACGGTCTTGCCCGGCCAGGGCACAACCTCATCTCGACCTTTGCACCGGATCTTGGCGAGATTCGCCGTTCTCCGCGCGAGCCGCCGGTTGCGATCCCCACCCTCGTCCCTTTCCCACGTCCCCAATGAACCATGCCGATCCCCTCGCTCCTCTCTCCATCTTCGGTCTCCCCTCTCTTTTCCCCACCTTCTGGCAGTCCGATCTTCATCCTTCTCTTTCCTTCTCGTTCGAGCCTCTTTCTGTCCCACTCATTAATCCTGGGCATTGGCGACTGTGGCGAGAAACTTTTGACGAGTTGTCCTTCTACTTGGCCCGAGTACAGGTGACGTGGACGCAGGCCAGCGAGCATCCTGCGTGGATCAGAAATTTGGAGTTGCTGATCATACAAGCTTGGAAGACCAACATGGAGGGCGATCTTCTCGGCTTTCTCTTTGGATCGGTATGGCCAGGCCGCCACCAGTTGATTGTGCAGGAGCTCATCGCGCCGATCGTCCAATTAGCGGACGATCTCCCGCCCGAAATCGTCTCACAGAGTGACGACAACCCTGCCCCGCACGTCCTCACGCGGTCGTTGGATCCGTACCTTCAGTGGACTGCGTGCTTGGAGGAGCCCAGGGACGAAGATACGCTACCATCACGGCAGGAGTATCTGAAGCCTTACGACATCATCCCTCACGCCTTCTATCCGAAGGTGGAGGAAGTGGTGATTGACGACGGCGAAGAAGACGACGACGAGGAAACATCGGAGGAGGGAAGCTACTGCGAGTATAGCGAGGGCGAGCTAAGTGAAGAAGAAGAAGAGGAGGAAGAAGAAACCGGATCTGAGTGGGAAGCCCTGCCGGAGGAAGCAGCGCGTACTGGCACGGAGACGGAGCAGATCCCCATCCTCCTCCAGCCCCACCCGTCCCCCTGTTCGCCCACGTACCGATGCGGGCGATAGGCCTTCGTCCTCGGACGTTATCCTGCCGTCCCCTTGATTTTCTCACCCTCGAACAGATCCGCACCCCCGTCACCTTCCCCCTCCATCCCTTCCTTCCCCATCTCTTCCGCGATTTCTACTCTACCCGCCTACTCGCTACCGTCTACCCCCACCCATCCCTTCAGCCCGCTGCCCCCACGTTCTGTTGGCATATCCTGTTGTTCAGCGCTGCATGGGAGCGATGCAACGTGGTAGAAGTCTACTGCGTAGCCACGGGGACAATCCCCGCCTGTCGCCACTATGAGTTCTTTCGAGCGGCGCTCCTTCGCACCCTCTCCTCCTACTATTGCGGCTACCTCGCTTCCCTCCCTCATAGCGGCGATCTCTTTCCTCGCTTCCACCGGATCATCCGATATGAGGAGCTTCCGGTGACGGTAGAAGGGATGAATCGCTACCTACCCCCACTTCCTCCCCGACGTCCTCGTGAGCTCCCCTCCATGTACCGCTTCTACTGGCCCATTCCAACTAGGCGATAGATCCCGATCACATGACTATTCCCCCCCACCACCACCACCTTTTCCTCTCTTCATCTAATCGGCAGGGGAAAACGGCACGAATCAGTAAGCATCGCGAAGATCACGTCACGGACGATGACGTCCACCTACGCTCTGATTCGACGAGCCGCAACGAGCTCGGGTGCAGAGCACACGGAGAACCGGCGGACGATGATGGCGTCACCTGGACGACCATCGATGATTCCAGCAACACGAGCCAACAAATCCCCGAAAAGATTGCAATTGAAGATGGCGCCAACATGGACTCTGGCTGGATCGATTGTTGATACGCTTGGTTCCTCATTCATCACTCTGCTCTCTCTCTCTCTCTCTCCTTCTCCGCCATAACATGCAATCAGGAGATCACATAATTTTGGAACCCCCTGCGCGTCACATATGTGACGAACTACTTCTCGAACCGAACCCGTGCTACCTTTCGTACCCTTTTTGCTTGTATCATACCAACCCCATAAAAAACCCGTTTCGTTTTCTTGATTTCGGATGCCGCGTTTTGGGCCCCCATCTTTCGGAAGCTTTTACGATTCCCGGGTTCTGCTTTTTATTTTTGCAATTCGGAAAATACATGGGAATTTACGTGCGCCTTAGCGAGCGCACTAGGAATTAGGCCCGACAGTTGGAATTCCGGGATAAGCGGAACTTCGACGTGTCCTTTTTGTGTGTGAATGTTCTCGGTCGCGTTGGGGAAACCTCTCGGAATTTTGTGGGGATACAAATAGGCGTAGGACTTTCTTTTCCCGCGTCGCTCTTTCGCGCGCGGATATGGTGATTTCAATTTTGAATTGGTTTAGGATGTAGGCAAGCTGTAATTGTTTCGGTTCCTTTTCCTCTTTTTTTGTTGACGGTGCCACGCATGCAAAGCTTTCTCCTCTCTGTCCCCCGCATCGCTCTCTCCAGCGCTCCTTTTTCCTTCCCCCTCCTCTTCCTCTTTCCTCGTAACTGTTTTTCTTCCTCTCTCTCTCTCTCCCGCTCTACTCTTTGCGTGCCCATTTTCCCTTTTTTGATCGTCTGAATCTTGGACCCGTCTTGCGCTACTTCTCGCGCCTTTTTCTTCTCACCCTCCGAACTCAGCGCACGACGCCCGGTCGATCCTTCGATGACTCCCGCTCGCCAATCAGGTACGTCGATCAATAGGATCTTCCTATTGCGCGACGAATCTGATTGGTTGAACCTTGAGTATCGAGGGATCAACATGGCTTCCACGCAGCGCTCTTCCCAAAGTCTTCTCCTCCTGCTTCTTTCCGTAGACTTCGACTTTCCCCCTGCATTCTCTCTCCCTTGTCTCCTTCCTCGCCACTATAAATTCCGCAAACGCGCCCGCAAATCTCTCTTACGTTCTCGA